GATTACATTTAGGGGGACATTTTGCATTTGGTTTTAATTGGAAGGGAAAATAATGTTCACATTTATATGCATTAGATGGCATAGAGTTACATGGTAACTTTATGATAATAAGGTTCTTCCTTTCATTTCCACAACTGATTTATCCTGAATAGGAATTTATCCATCCATTTCTTAATGGGTTCAGGAGTTGCTCATAATTGCCATAACTAGGTAATTACTTCTCCAACATGTGTGCATAATGCTATAATAAAGACTACTGTATGTGTCCTCTCTTAACTTTCCTTCCCTCCAGTCCCAAGATGTGTGTTTTCATAAAGCCTTCTTTGCTATCTCAGAAGAAAGGAGTTTTCTTAATCTTTTCCAAAACTAGATCACTTGATTTTACCTTATCTGGTGAAATAAATTCTCATTACCTTACTCAAATCTGTATTTAACTTTCCTTCCACTTCATGGTTCTCTGCAGCCTCTAAGACCCCTAACCTCCCACTAATAGCAACAAAGGGCTCTTTCTTGACTGCATGTTAAACTGCCTCAATTCTCACCGATTTATTTTTATAATCTAGACATTTAAACTTAGTATAGATTCACTCACAAACATCAGTGAACATCCATAATCAGAATTATGGGACATCAATACAAACAAAGTAGAAGAATAAAATCTGTTATTGAACTATTACGTGCTGGATTTATCAACCTTTTTTCTAAAAGTGATGGTCATTGTTATGCCAAGATAAAACATCCTGCAGGTCTTTTGCAGTGTCCTAATATTGTACGTTTTCTCGTTGAATTCTTTTGTAATTACTATTAAAACATGGGTAGTCCCATGGTATATTTTTCTCACCTCTCTTTCTCAAGATTTAGAAACTTACATGTCATACTGTCCTAATGATTCTACAGTTTAACTATTAGTGAGAATACTTAGTAATTTTCTAACTTAATAACAGAACTGTTCAAAATAATAATAGTGAATGGGGATGTTTCTTATGCACTTTTCAGAATCTATAAATTATGTTTTTAAATGGTTAATATTTTTAGTAGGTAACAGATTTCAAAGAAAAAGTATATGGTCATAAATTTTAGAGTTTTCACTCAAGACTCTGAAATAATAGACATTAAAATGTGTCGACTTAAATGAAACTTCATGGTTCTCTTTCATTATTTTCATGCATAGGCCTCTTTGAAAGTGAGTGGGCGACAGAGAGGACTTGTAATATTTGTGTTTTGTCCAACATGGGTCAGAAAAAGGATAAGCCACAGAAAAATAATAAGGGTTTAATACAAATTCTGACTTTCTCAGAGGCAATGAATATTCTGAAATACCTAAAAATTTTTGAAATGATATATAAGCTATAATTCTAATATAAAAATAAATAAAATCTATTTGTAAATTTTTCTGATCTCTGATTATAAAGGCAGTAGTAAATAAAACATTCAGTATATATATATATACTTTAAAAGCTATTTATTAAATATTTCTCTCTATTTGGTATCATTATCACTGTCGGAACTATTACTGTCATCATAAATAGAAGTGTTTCTAATTGAAGATACCATCATATCTACAATGTCTTTTTTGGGGTTTTCTTCCAAATCAGTCTGTATTGCTCCAACTTCTGCTAGCTTCCATTCAAGTTCTGCAATATATAACCCACCATTAAGTCAGATATAAATCTTGGAAAAATGAAAAGAAGAATTTCTCATCTATATGACACAGAAGGTGACTGTAATAAAATTAACATGGAAATGATATATTTAGAACTGGATGACAATGAAAGTACTACAGTGTCAAAATACACAATGGATATAGCAAAGTTATACTTAAAGGGAGAAATTACTATTACAATGTGACTTAGTTTGTGTTGTGCTGCTAAAATAAAATATCAGAGACTGGGTAATTTATAAAGAATAGAGAGTTATTTCTTAGAGTTCTAGAGGCTGGAAAGTCCAAGGTTGAGGGGGCTGCATTTGGTGAGGACATTCCTGCTGTATCATTCCATGGTGGGATTTGAGAGGGTGAGAGAAGATGAGCAAGAGAGAGCAAGAGAGGACTGAACTTGCTTTTGAAACAAACCCACTCTCGAGATAATGAACCCACTTCTGCCGTAATGACAATCCATTCAGAGGGCAGAACCCTCAGGACCCCACCTCTCAACACAGTTGCACTGGGGATTAAGTTTCCAACACATGAACTTTGGGGGACACATTTAAACCACAGCATCCTTCCCTGGCCTCCAAAATTCATGTCCTTCTCACATGCAAAATACACTCATTCCATCTCAATAGTCGCAAAAGTCTTAACTTGTTCCAGCATCAACTCTAAAGTCCAAAGTCCAGAGTCTTATCTAAATCAGATGTTGGTGAGACTCAAAGCAGGATTCATACTGAGGCAAATTTCCCTCCAGCTATGAGCCTATGAAGTTCAACAAGTTACCTAAGTCCAAAATGCAATGATGAGACAGTCATGGGCTAGACATTCCCATTCCAAACGGGAGAAACAGGCAAGAAGAAAAGGATAACTGGTCCCAAGTAAGTCCAAAACCAAATGGGGAAAACAACATTAAGTCCTAAATCTGGAGAATAATCTCCTTTGATTCCACGTCCGGCATCCTGGGCACACTCGGGTAAAGGTTGGGCCCCAGCCTTGCTCCTATGGCTTTGCTGGGCCCAGTCTACACAGCAGCTCTCACAGGTTGGAGTTTTGTGTCTACAGTTTTCCCAGGCTGGAGTTGCACACTGGTAGCCCTACAGTTCTGGAGTCTCAGGGGCTCCTGTGGTTCCACTAGGCATTACCCTAGTGGGGACTCTGCAGTGGTTCCACCCTTGTGACAAGTCTCTGCCTGGGCCTCTAGGCTGTTGGCGACATCCTTTGAAATCTAGGTGGAGGCCACCATGACCTCACGGCTCTTGTATTCTTCCCAGCTACAGAATTAGTACCCCATATGGGCGCTGCCAAAGTTTATTGCTTACACCTTCCAAAGTGGCAGATCAAGCTGCACCTGGGCCTACCTGAGCCATGGCTGGAGTGTCCAAGGGGTGCTGTGCTGAAATGTGGGGAGCAGAGTCCCAAGGTAGCACAGGGCAGCAAATGCTGAGGTCCCATAGGCACCTCCTTGGAAACTTCACCCTCAAGGTCCTAGTTTGCCTCAAATATCTCTGAAATGCCTTTGGGGTCATTCTCCTGTTGGCTTCATGAATAGAACCTGGCTTTCTTCTATCCATTAATCTCTTTGGCAAACAGTCACTTGGCCACACCTTTAGTATTCTCTCCTGAACGTGCCTTTTCATTCCTTACGTGGCCATGTTGAAATATTTCACAATTTTTACTTTCTGCTTGCCCTTTAATTATAAATTATGTATTGAAATCACTTTTCTCTCATGTTCCTGTAAGCAGCCAAAAGAAGTCATGCAGCACCATGAAGGGGGATTACTGGACCCAGTTCCAATGCTTTGCTGCTTAGATATTTCTTCTGCCAGAGATCCTAGTTCATTGCTCTTAAATTCCACCTTCCATAAAATCCTAGGACACGAACACAATTCTGCCAAATTCTTTGTAACTATAAGCAAGAATGGCCTTTAGTCCAATCTCCAATACCTGGTTCCTCAGTTCCATCTGAGACCTTCCCAGATGGCCTTTACTATCTGTATTTCTACCAGCATTCTGATCACAACCTAAATAATCTCTGAGAAGTTCCAGACTTTCCCTACGGGTCTTCTCTTCTTTTGAGCCCTCATCGGAATCATCCTTAATGTTCCATTCACAGAAATCTAGGCTGCTTC